TGCCAAGCTCCCATTTCCTCTATGTCTGCACGTTATTTGCAGGAAGTAAAAGCTGAAAGCCTCTTTTGCATCACTCATATCTCAGAAATGGGGAAGGCTCATAGACATGTATTTTACATCAGGGCCCAAAGTCAGCTCTTCAGGCAGATGCAATTGCAAACAAAAAGCAAGTGGCAACTGTGAGTGCTCATCCTGCAGCTCCTCTAGGGCCCCACTCCAGCAGGAGCAACGGACTCGTAAGAGTCAGGCTCCTCTAGGATATCCCACTCCAGACACAAATCCATGAGTCACCTCTGCAGTACACACACCTCCACTTCCATGTGTGTCATGGTTTTCATGGCCAAAGCGATCAGGCAACAGTACAAGAAGACTGAGCTTCACAGAAGGGAGCAGAGGGAAATCCTAGGCTAGAGCAGTGACAACTATTAGCAAAGCGGAGGTCTCCTGAAACATCTATAGCAGCCCATGGTAAGTTGTTGCATGGCATTTAAAAAGCATGAAATATGAAGCCAATAGGTTTTAAATGAATGTGTTAAAGCACTACATCCCAACCACTGCAACATCAGTGAGAGAATTTAAGACAATTTGGCTCATACACAGCAAAGCATGATGCTAAGTCAAGCCCTTTCTCCCCCAAGCCACTGGTGACAAAGCTGGATGCAGGTGTAGGGTGACGGGGTGGGTAAGGGATCAGAGACGCATTTGCTCCTCTGGCATACGACTGCCTTTTGGGTGGTCCCAAGATAAAGAGGAGGAGAAGGAAGGCCAGAATCTCAGAGCACGTTCGTCTGACACACTGCAGAGTAGACACGAGACTCTGGTTTGCAGCTTGGAGGACGTACCAGTGCCAGGCCTGAGCCAATTAAGCACTGTTAACCTGCAGAAAGACTACTACCAGCTCTGCAGCCAGCAGCCTCATAGAAACCTTGGGAATGTCTGCCCGTGCTCCTCTACACAAGGTTGGCATGCCCTCTGGAGCTCTAGCATGCTGAGACAGGGGATTTCAGCTCAGCAAATAAATACAGCAACAACAAATGGCATCAATTATTCACTAATGGAATTATGTCTAGTAAGTCAAACCAAATCTATAATCTGAAAAATCTTTTGCTTAAAATATGCAATGATTTTTTTAATTGGTTTTATATTCCCTGCTATGATTATTCAAAGCACTATAAACAAAGGGCTTGGGAAAAGAAGTCACTTAATCAGATTAAAAGGAAATCACCTACCAGCTGGGAACCTAGCAGCTCCCACATCCTCAATTTATTTGTCTAACCTCCACCTGTAAAATACCCTTTCTAGGGTATTGCTAAGGCTGCAGTCCCAGATTTAGCTGTTTGCTCAGTTTTACTTCTTAAAGCAAGCAAAAAGGACGACCTGCAGCTTTCAAAAAGGCTTCTTAATACTAAGAAACGCTTGTGAAATTTAAGTCAACATTACATTCACACAAATGCTGGAGGCAAACTATTCTGTTCCCACCACAAACAGTAATCATTACTCTGTAGACATGACAGATTTCTTCTGGAGCATCTGGAAGTTGCTGCCTGTAACGAAGAATCTGACTAGCATAATTAAATTAGCTCACCCATTTTAATTATTTTGGCACCACATCTCAAGTGAGAAGCAGCCAAACAAATTTGTCTTTCTACAAGTTTCTGTGTCATTTTTGCAGCATTGCAAGGTACTCTAAAACGAATCTGTAGCCCTCGTGCATTCCTGCTTGTCTTCTCCAAATGGAAATATGGACACCTGAATCTGTAACAAAGGGCAAGTAAAGGACATGAGACAAATCTCTTTCAGTTCGGTTTTTCTCTCCCCTTCTATGAGGACTGTTTCTTCACCAAACTTTACTTCTGTTTGCAAATGGAGCACCATTTCATCACCTTCTGTTTGACGTCTTAGATCCTCCACTCCTGACCTCTCGTTAATGACTCTTGCCCGTTGTCTAGCCCCTGTGTACTGTCTGCATTTGCTGTCTGGAGTTCTCATACTCAACTTTCTCCTCTTGGGTTTCCATTCCTTGGCTTTGAAGGAAAATTTTCCCACCAGCCTCTGAAAATGCCTTCCTAGCCAAACCCCTGTTCTCTTTAAAGCAACTTCAGTTTCACTGATAGCACCCTTCTGGTCGTTCTGTCCCCCTTCTGCCTGCCTCGGTTTTGGTGATGCCTTTGCATTACCTGAAGACACCACCACACCTTCTCATTGCTCCACCCCAAGTCCTCTTCAGCTCAGCTCTCTTTAGATTCTCCCTACCCCATAAGCAAGATGTATTCTATTATGTGATATTCCACACATACTAGTCAACTTTGTAATTGCTCTTGTACTTAACACTTAATCACAATTCTGGCCATTCATGCAATAATTCTACATATTGCTTGGAAAAATGCCAGTCTACATAGGTCAGAAAAGACACAGATACCCTGATTTTGCTGGTTTATTGCCCTAGTAGCCTAAATCTGTCTTTATCATCAGTGTCAGCACTTTCTGTGCACTGCTTCACTACATAACTGTCTGCACAATTTCCTTTCCCCTTGTAAGGATGCTCACCAGCTTAGATGTCCCAATACAAATAGCCAGCAAGACCCAAGACTCCAACATCCATCCAGAACACTGCTGCAGAGATCCTATCCTGTCCATGGGGTGTCATTTGGGCACCCCTTCCACTCCCCCTGCGCTCTCATCTGCAGCTAAAACAGTCTTCCTGCTTTCATACATCCTGCTGTTTACACTGCAGTGCAGCTGCCCACAAATAACCATTAAGTAACTTTCCCCTTCCCACTCTGCTTTATCAAGACACAAGTGAAAAAAAAGACCCTGAGCTACAGCACCAGCACATTACAGCTACTGTCACCCTGTCAAGCAACATGGTCTCATTATTTCTTCGTGCATCAGCCTGGCTGCATCCATCCACTATCTCTGATCTTCAACTTAAGCAACAATACAAATAGTTAAAGTTCAGAAGCCTCTGGAGCATCTGTCCCTTCACAGCATATAATATTTAGTGAAGCCCCAAGCAATCAAACCAAAGTCCTTCATATCTAAAGACTTCTTTCAGAAAGGGAGTCAAATTATCAATTTTGCTCCAAGTGCTGCAATCACAGAAACAGAAAATGTATTTCACAGACAATGTAGTGGAAAAAGGAAAAAAGGAATCAATAGTTTGCTCCACACAGCAACCTAAAAATCAGCACATATGACAGCATGAATATTGAAGGTGAAAACCAACTACATGATCATGTACTTGCAAAGAAACTATAATTTTACTTTATGTGTATTTTTCCCCTTCATCTTACACTCAACATATACCAGCTCAATCAAATGAAAGGAAAAAGAACCAGCTATTCACTAGTGGGTTATATTTAGCAATAGGCAGTCTAGCATATTAAAGCATTTTTCCCACCAGTACTCAACCTGAATTGATACTGTCAACAGCTGCCAATAACACAAGACATTCTGCAGTCAAATAAAACAGATTAAAAAAAAACCACACTAAAATATAATTAAAGGTAAACTACCAGCTGAATGATGCTATAACCACAGGCACGTTACTTCTGCAGATGTGTACTTCTGATCAAGGAAACGCAAAGGCCCTTCCTTGCAGCCAGGTGGTGTTGCCTGGCATCAGTGAATCAAGGCTGCTCAATTATACATGTTATGGATCTCACAGGGGTTCCCATCCAGGCCAGTAATAGCAGTTTTGAAAAACAGGAACACCATTGCCCTTAGCAGAGTTTAGATCAAGCTTCACTGTAGCCAAATCCCGATATCCATGACTGCTCTCACAGGGCAAACAGGGCTCAGGGCACAATACCCACAGCAAAAGGCTGTAGACAGTTCAATTTAGCAACATCCCTTTATACTTTCTAGCCCAGCAGAAAGAATTCAGCATAGCATCTGGTGGTTCCCAGGGTAACACTTCCTAGCCTGGGATGTGACATCTAATTCTTTATCATAGACAGAACAGTAAGTTTTCTCTTCCATTCTGGAGAAACGCAGAAATTAAACTTAAAACTGGCCACACCAACCAAAGTCAGTAATTTCTGTTTGCACCTGCATTGCTGAAAGTGTTGGCTGAAGACACTGAGGACAGTAAGATCAATGGAAACCCTCACACTTACATGTATAGCACACAACTAGTGGGGAAAAAGTGAGGAAGTTAACATGAAAGCTTAAAAGTACATTTATCCTGTATCAGTTACCTGCCCCCATATACAAGGCTCTAGCAGGCAATCACCACTACACAACGCTGCAGCTAACCTACTTGTCTGCCCAAAGTCCTTCCAAAGTTGCAGCTTGCTTGAGAAAGGCAAACAGTCCCATGAGGATTCCCTCCGAGGGGGCAGAGCTGCATGGACTAGAAGTGACTTCATGCTCTAATATAGACAAAACATGATCCAGATCAAATGTCTATCCTGGAAGGAGATACTCTAATGCCTCTTTGAAGTGTTCTGTTACTACTAGTGGGTTTCAAAAGCAGATATAAACATAAACCAACTCCCACTGCCAGAATAATCAGAGATTAGCTACCCAGGAAAGCTCTTCCCAGTTAACCCTATATATGATGACACATATGGCTGGCATGGCTTTTTGGAAGATGCCCTTCCAACATACAAAAAAAATCATCTAGACTTAAAAGTCACCACACGCACAGTTAAGAAAATCCCTTGGCATGAGTAAAAGATTGGATGTTAAAGCAATGCCAAAGTCATTATTACCTTTGTGGGTTTTCAATCAGATCAACTTTTTCTTTTTTTTTTTTTTTAAATAAAAGAAAACATAAGGACACTTTCAAATAGCCTAAAATCACGCCAACAGAACATTATAATAAGAAAATTCATCCTGCAACGTCTGGTAAGCAAACCATATTGGTCATTGACTTTTTTTTTCCCCCAGAGGAGAACAAGAAATGTATATGCAAAACAAAAACCAGCCATCTAAAATGCTTGATTGCATGAGCACTAGGTCCAGATTTAAAGTAAAAATATTTTTCTGTGACTTACCAGAATTTCTCTTTGACACGAGCTTCAAATTCATGCTGACTACAGTACAGATCACAAGAACCAAGGGAACAAGAGGCTTCATCTTTCACTTTCTGTGACAGCTGAAATGCAAACATAGTATGAAGTCTGAATCACAGCTCTTCACTACAACAAAGCAGCAGCTACAGTTAAACATTTCTCAAAGAGCCATTACAGGGCAATGGCTTAATCTAGTGACTTCTGGGTTTATTTTTATGCAGAGGTAGGAAAACATAATGGTTCAAAGTAACTCTCTATGAATAATTTATCTCTGACTATCAGACAAAAGGGTTGGGTTTTTTTAAATGACACTTTGAAAATAGTATTTTTCTTAAAAAAAGCCCAATGCTTAACTGTTTATTTGAAATAGTATGGGTCTAATCTGGCAAACTTCTGTATGTTATTTAAGGGGGAAACCCTGATGGTCATGGTTAGTTTTGTCGCATACAAACAGGCCACATGCTTAAAAAAACTTCACATTGTTCAGGAAAAGATAAAGAGTAGGTTATTAATGCAATTTCTCTTAGCAACCTTATTTTCTCACTGGTGACCTTGTAAAAGCTCCTACAATGAATTAATGCTATTTGAGAGATTGCTCCTATACAATGAGGTAAAGACAGGTGAACAAAATTCAGAAACCAATGAATGCAGGTCTCAGCATTCTTATTAAAAAGATAAAATTAGTCTCTCCTATGAACTTTACTATCTGTATTACGTGCATTAAAAAAAGAAAAAATCTACTTTAAAATTGTATTTTTCATTTTATATAATTACTGGAACTAATTCTGTTTTCATTTACAACTATGAGGTCATTCAAGAAAACATAGCAAGAGCAAACTGAGGCTTCTTATCTGCACTTAAAAAGAGGTAGAATGAATCTGAACTCAGCATAGCCCACGTCTGTATCTCTCTCTCTAAATGAAAAGAGAAAGAGATGCTTGATTATAAGTTAGAGTCCTCAAATATATGCTTAGCGTGAAGTCACAGGCCTTTAAGTAGCTTGATGTATTTAGACTCCAGGAATACATCTCCATATCAGAAACAGACTTTAGATCAGGACCCTTATTCTGAGATAAAGAGGACAGCCATCTAAATCAGTATGAAATTATTATTTGCACCAAAAGATTCAGCAAACATTTTATAGCAGTTTCTTTTAATCAGAAATGCACAAAACTACCCGCATTAGCAGTCAAAATGAAGGCCAATGAAATGAAATCATTCCTAAATGCTGTACCACATCGGCACACCCAGCCTGCTCAGAGGCACCCTCAACTTCAGGACCAGCCCAGACCCCTGCAGCTCTGAACATTTGCTCAACGTGATAAACCAGCAAGAGGGTGCCATGTCCTGCTGTTCACTGAAAATTATTCAGTTTGTTTATTACATATTCTTCCTTTGTAATTTTACTACCAGCCTACTGTCACGTGAAGAAAATGTAAGCAACCGTGTATAATCTTTTACACGATGGCAATTATGCTGCTATTCAATTAGTTCAAAATTACCACTTACAACTGACGTTTTCCCCCCTCTCACCTTACCGTACCGTGAGTGATAAATAGGCAGTGGATTCCCCCCCCCCGCCCCCGCCCTGAATTCTGTGTTCCCGTGGGCACTTTATGCCTATTGATTCCCCACAGTAACGATGCTAAAGGAGTTTTCAAGGAATAATATGCGGTGAAGGCTGGCTGACAGTGGTTAATGGCAGAATTAGTATTCATTCTTCCTTAACCTCTCCTTGGAGTACCAAAATCCTGAAACAAGCAAGGCCATCTTGACAAGAGAGCTTAAAAAAAGTAATTGAACTAAATCTTTTGACAGATAATTGTAATGATGATGTTATGCTAGAATGATTTTCAAGTGTAGCTTTGCAAATTACTTTCTCCACTTTCCTCCCTTCAGTTATTACAGCTGAAGTCTGTATCTCCTAGGTCTTTTTTCATGTGGGTCCCTCCCCCAATTCGAAACAAGTTCTGCTGGCCAACTTTCATGCTAGAGATAGGGGAAAATTCTTGGTTCTGTCAGCATTGATAGGAGTTTTGCTTTCTGAAGCCCTGGCCTCACTAAGGCAGTCAGTGTCTGTACCTGCAAAAATCAGGAAAATACAGCAGGAAAAGGGTAAGAAACTACTCCACCACTCATTCACAGCTTAGCCCAGAGCCTCAGCTTGTCACATCTGACACAACCCCACTGAAGTGGGCATGAAAATACATGCCAGAGTTGGAGGTGTCATCTTCACCCTCCTAGACATCCAAGCAAAAGAAGGAAGGTAGGATCAGTCACACCAGTGTGACCAGTGGGTCAGCTGGTTACTGCCCTGAGACAGCAGACAGCTATCAACAACAAGGCTGTTCAAACTGCCATATCATAGATGATGTATTTTTAAACATGCAATTTGACAAAGAAGGCAAGGTACAGTATAAAGATGTATTTCCCCCAGAAGAATGTCAAGCGGCCAGAAGAGGGAAGGTCGTATGTGTCCAGGACAGAGTTTCTAAATTTGTTCAGAAGGAGATTTCTGGGGTTGAGCCTGCCAAGACTCCCATCATGTCTCCTAATAGGACCAGTCTCAGCTCCCTCCTCTGGGCCATTCACTCGCCTGTCAGGCAGCGGGATGGACTAGAGACTCAAGACAATCCTGTGCTAGACCTACTAGCCCTTCTGGAAATAAATGAGTGGGAGAGTACCTATGATCTGATGAAGAACATGAATAAAACTGTGCTAGCTTGAAGAGATATGAGATGGGATAAACTAGTTAACATTCAATACCATTTTTCTATAATTGAGGCATTTTCCTCCAAGCAAAGCTGATTTTATCACTCGACAAACTTTCCCCTCACAGGCACTGAGCAGCATTTCCCTGAGGACTTGCTTACTCTGATGCTGCCATCTCCAAGCAGCTGTGAGTAGAGGCTCACAGCTGTAACAAGAACATAGGACTCTACTGGATACAGCTCGCAAAAGGGGAACCAAGTTTAGGACCCTTCCCAGAAGAGTAAAGAAGGCATCTTACTCAATAAGGGTATAGAAATACCAATTACAGCTAACTTGCCCAAGATCACTGAGAGGAGGGAAGAGGGACACAGAATAAAGTGCTTGTTGAGAAGGCTGACAGAATCGCTAAACAAGCTAATCCAGCCCTTGTTGTGACCTGCCAGGTTGCATTTCTATTGAGAGAAGTAAAGGGAGGTTGCTACCATCCGGGGGAGAAATGTAGGAGAAGCAAGGTGTGACAACTTTCTTCTCAATCATTCCACTGCTAACGAGGCCACCCCTTCCCTCCTGATACCGTTTGATGCTGCAGACCACAGACTTCAGGCAGCTTTCCCAGTCTGATGTAAGCACCCAGAAACTGCAAGGGACCAGGCTGCGATGCAGCACAAATTCTGTTCCCTTAACAGAAACCCTGACTCCCATATGCTGCCTAATGCCCTTCACCTGTGTTGACAAACTTAGTTCTTTCTTCTGAGTCCTCAGAAAACAGGGCTTGGGAAACTGTGTCCTATTTTCTTCATGTATTGCTTGCTGTCCTCCCAGCACCTGCTTCAGCTTGCATAGCTTCCCAGACTCAAAAGAATTTCAAGTGACAAGGTTAGAAGAAAGCACTTAGAAACAAGAACGAAACTGGAACATTAATATTCTGCACAAAACCCAGCATTGAGATTCCCAAGTTCCCACTTTAAATATAGTTTAGTTTTGCTCTAATTTCTACCACGAGCTTTGTTTATACAGCGTTCCTTTCTAAGAGAAAGCAAGAAAAGTGGTGCATGTGTGCACTCAGGCACACGTCTGTGCACAGACTGAGATTTGCTGACACACCATGAGGCTCTGTAGATTCTGGTTTCTCCACAGAAGCTGTGATGCAGAAGGTGCTCATTAAAAACAGCAGCCCACCTCTTTAGTGGTTTCCAATTGTCAGGTTTTGTTGCTCAGAAATCTCACGGAAATAAATTACGGTTTTCACCCCACACACAAAGGATGAAATGGCAACAGTAATTCTTCCGTTGTCTTTACAGTATGCTAGATGGTGACTTCTGTTCGTTTCTTTTCAAACCATTTCCCCACTCCACCTTTTAAGGCTTTGAATTTTAATATGAATGCTCTCTCAGGTCTTCTCTTCTTTTACCAACACACCACACTGAGTTGTTTATTACTGGAAGACTTTCAGTCTATATAATATGCAGGATGGAAGCAATCCACAATGGGCACCAGTCCCTTTTTGTTGATACCTCAAATACAAACAAAAAAAATATTTAAGATCAGAGATGCATGCTAGTTCAAATAACATATCTTCAGCTCTACTTGATATGGGTCATGCAGTGTTCTTTGCTCCGTTGCTCAATGAGCATCAAAGAATATTTCATTTTGTCTAATTCACTGTGCATCTTTGCCATCATAACCAGCCACTTAGGTTGCCTAAATATGCAATGAACATTAATTCTACAAGGCAGTGTGCATTCATCATTCGTCTTGCTGGATTTGAGCCTCCATTGGGGTCAGGTCCTTAACTTAACTCACATCTGGCTAATTCTCCTTGTTCAGCTGAAATTCTACAAGAAATTTAAAGCTGAGGTAAGCACAGAGGGAACCTGGCAGTGCTTGTGTTGCATGAACTGGAAGTAACCAGCAACAATGAGACAACATCTAAAATGTCTGCAATTATTACTGGCTCAACAGTGCATCAGCTGCACCATAGCCATACAACAAGGAAACACGAGGCAGCAAAGGGAATGACAACTAAATATGGGGAGCACCTGACAGGGTCACAACACCAATCTGTAATGACTTCTCCAAAGGCTACGTGTCTGGGTGCAAAAGAAAAGGAACAAACTGTAAAACTCACAGATCTTTTGTGATGTGAAGGGGGTAAACTCAGAATCTTATCAGTTATTTCAGAAGAAACAAACAGCACTACCCCTTAGGTGTCAACACCGAGGCTTTGCTTGGAAGACTGCAATGCTTCCATTAAAAAGTTAAATACCTTCCAAACAGCAATCATAGAAGATAACAAGAGCAGCATCTTAAAGCTTCAAAAGGCATCTAATAGCCACCACAAAAAAAAAAAAA